CTACACGATCCGAGGTAACCTACCATGCACCAGAGTGCATGCGGCACAGGTGTTCCCCAGGGACAAGTAACAGGGGCACAAGGTGTGCTGCTGCTACTTGTCCCCGGAGAAACAAAAGTCCATACTTGTCTGGACGTGCCTGGTCAGGGCTATGGTTTGCTCCCCGAGGCTGTGCTAAAAAGGTTGGCATAATCTGTTAACCTTAAGAAAAATGGTTTGCTGTTAGGGAGCAGTATTACAAGAATCCTGTGCATCTCAGGAGGCTTGCTAAATTTCAAGGCCATCTGAGTAAGCATGAGGGTGTTAGAAGTTTTAGAAGAGTTGAACATTAAACTGAAATTGTTGACTTTGTGTTTTAAGTTTTGACCAAAATAAATAGTACTCTTATAGAAAATTTCCATTGTTGAAAAGAACTCCCCTTTTTTAGGGTTGTGGGCAGACCTTGTTTATTCATCTCGAAATATTTTGGCCCTCAGTAGAATTCATAAATATACACTCTTGTCCCTGAAGTAATATCCTGAAGCTTATCTGAAGAAACACAGTGACTTGTACCCTAAACAGCTGCAAGTTCAATTTTAGCACTGCAGTTTCTCAGGTGGAGTAGAATTTCCTGGGCCAGAGTAGGGGCAGTGCGGGGATGCACAGCTCCATGAAATTGTTACCTTCTTAATAGCTGCTTGCAGCTTTTACAGTATTATTGTCTCTTCTTTGAGGGTGTATGGTAAAAATGATACAATTATTACAGAAAGAGAACTAATGGAAATAATCTTTCTGTTTAAGTTTTCCTGATCAGTTTGCTTTGGTTATTTAAAAAAAGAAGTATCACAGTTTAAACCAGCTCTGGAAGAGGTGGCTACTTGAGTGGCATTTAATTTCATTTACCTTTCCATATTTAAATAAATTAGTAAAGCCTGACCTTTTACAATTATTAAGCTATTGTGTTTTTCTTCTGAAAATCATCATTTCACACCATGTTGTGGAGGTCTGCTTGGGTGATTCCATGCTACTCCATTAACTATTTATTAGACTGCAGTTAGTTATTCCTTGTAGGAGATCACAGTTCCTCTTCATTCCTACTTGTAAGAAGGTCACAAAGGTTAAAAAGGTTTTCACCCACCCACTCAATACTGAGTCATTTCTCAGTTATCCCTTTTCTGCTTTGTAAGAAGCCAGTTCCACAGGAGAGCTAGACTGATATTAAAGGGAAATCTTCCCCATTCCACAGATACCTCAGGGTTAACTTGTCCATAATCATTTTAGTTTTTGTCATATTTAAGAAGCAAAAAGAATTGAAACAAATCTTAACTATTTGGTTGCCCTGTATTACCTCTTAGTAGTGCACTGCTGCTTTACCACTTGTCTGAGCTGGGCCAACTGAGGGAGCTGAATTGATAGGAGTGGGAGAATTGGCTGTAATTTATTTCCCTGTCTTGGCATTTTATTTTTCTTCAGCCATATTACTTTAGATAAATAAGGTCCTATGACTATGGATTGCCATTTACTATATGTTTATACCACACTTTGTCTAATGGGACTCCCACCTAGTTGGTCTCAAGGCATTAGCACAGCATAAATGCCTTTAATATGTACTTAACATATGATTTTCTGTTCTTCATTTACTATTTATATTTTGATTTCAGACTGGTATTGTAAAATGAAACTCAGCCTGCCAATTAGGGGCTACACCATTATGCAAGTGACCTGCATCCTATTGTGAAATTTATTTTCGTGAATCGGTGAAAGTAAGGAGTGGGGTGAATAGCTGTTTCAGTGGAGAAAGATACAATGCATAACAGCAGGGTTACAGAGACCAGTCCATAATTTTGTCCCAAAACATATCAGGAAAATGTTTTGTTGGAGCTTGATGAAAAACCCAGACCTGATTCAAGAGTCTTCTCCTCTGAGGGTTGAAAGCATAGGCTGAATGAGCATTGGAGAGTGCAGTCTTACCTAATTTAGGAAAAGCTACAAACATACCTTTCTGTTTTGTTACAGTTCACTCCCCACCTTTAAAAAACACAAAACTTTATTCCAAGCAATAAAGCATTGCTTTCTACAGTCTGAAAAAGGAGTGGCAACAGAAGGTCCATGAAATCTATTAGGAACTTGGCATTTGCCAACCTATATCACACAAGAGTGGGAGGGGTAGATACATGCATAGATACTATAAGGCTGAAAGGAAGCAATAATTTCTAAGTAAACCAACTATGAATAAAGTTGGCACAAAGTCAGAGTTGCCTTGCCTTCACAACAGTCATAAAAACAGATATCTCAAATTAGTGTTTTGAATAAACAACTAAATTCTCTAGTTTTATCCGATTGTGGATAGGAGATGTAATATCTGGCTATCAAAATCCTCATCTCTGGTAGTGAGTGACAGATGCCTTTTACTCTTGCCTATTGTTTAGTCACCTCTGTATCTTGTTTAAACTTATTTGCAGCTCCTTGAATCAAATGTAAGTTGGTCAAGGGCATTTATACATGTGCTCCAGGATTGGGGAGGGAAGGTTTTTTAATTAGAACAGCTCTGAGAGCTGCTCTAATTAAAGCACCTGGAGCGTCACGTGTATCAGTGTCACTGCGCTGAAAAATGCTTTAGTTAAAGCTCCCCTGCTGCCATTTTCACTGAGGGGACACTGACACACGTGACGCTGGAGTCTGCTGGAGCACAATAATTACTGTGCTCCAGCCGACGTGATTAACTGAGTCTGCTCCGATGTGCTGTAATTGGAGCATATTGGAGTAGCCTCACGGCACTTGTATAAGCGCCCTAAGAGCATAATTTCACCCTAGGATTAGGATCACTGGTTTACAACCAAGCTTTTTTTCAATCATAAAAATAGCTAGTTTAATCTCCGGTCTGGTACTGTATACTTAGGAGCTGGTATTTACTCTGAGCTGCTGGAGATTTGTGAGTCACTTTTTATGCAAATACTCAAAAGCTATTATGCTAATTTCTGATGGCTTATGAATGCTTCCAACCAGTAGTGTAGATATAGGTAGATGCCAGGAGCAGGAGGGGGCTCCAGAATGAAGGCCGTGAGCATTGGAGCGGTGGTGGCAGGGGGCTATTCATGGCACAGGTGTTCCTAGGGAAAGTCCAGACTGAAGGCAGGAATCCCCTTTTCAGCCTCCCCCCACTTTCCCTGCTATGCAGCCAATGGCTGCTGCATTAACCCTCTCTCAGCCTCTGCAGAGTTAAGTAATTCCACATACAAGTCGGTGAAAGCTGTGGGAGGGTTAATGCAATGGCTCCCATGAGGGAGGCTGGGGAAGGAACTGGGTGCCTCCTACCCCCAGCAGAGGTCTCCAGGCCCTGGGTGAGCATGTATTGTAACAGGCAAGATTCTGCGCCCTCCAACTCTCCTGAACTCAGCACAACCTTCCCCACCACAAGCCCTACCTAGGGAGCAGAAATAGCTAGGTACACCTCTGCTATCAACTGTGTTGCCTTCTTTTATCTGCTGTTATAAAAGTTAAGCTGACAATAAAGCTGTGTGTCCACAAGATCAGTGCTGCTCGACCTTCTGGGCTGCATGAGTGGTGCGGGGTTGGTCTGCAGGCTGGATCCAGTGTGGAGTCAGCGTGCAAGGTCAATCTGTGGGCACGATCCAGCACGTAGGCCAGACCTTGTATGCTGGTTCCAGCTGCAGGGCCCTGTTCTGTGCTAGTCCAACTCCATGCATCAGATCCAGCCACGGAGCAACCACATGCACTGGCATGATCCAGCATATGGGTCTGTGTCATCCATCCTTCAAGGCTCCCCATGGGTCTGGGAATCTGGAGGCAGGGGAGCAGTGACATCCTTAATTGCTGTAGCTCCCAGAACTGTGGCAATTAATGGTGTCACTGCTCCCTTGTCACCAAATTTCTGGACCTGCAGGAAGCCCCACAGGCCTGATGACAGCCCCATGGGCTAGATTCAGTCTACAGGCTGGAGGCTGAGCAGCAGCACTGCACAGGATCATTCAAAAACTGTAGTTTTCCCCCCAGTTTTGAAGTACAGAGGTTTGTTTGGTAGCCATTTAACATTTAAGGCATGGAGGTTTCAAATTGGCTTAGCTTTTAGATGGCTTTCATACATTATTGTCCATTTTTGGTGGGCAGCAGAAGGTTTTGTTTCATGGAACAATCAGTGAGAGATCCAGGGTGCAATCCTGACTTCAGGTATGTTGTCTGAGATTACAATTTGCCATATACTTTCAATTATTTGTTTGACAGATATGAACAAAAATGTGTTGACTTTAGTGGGTGTAAAATAGGGCTATAAATTACAAAAATTTGAGTTTTCTACCTCTTTCTTTTACCTTCCCCTTCCTCATCCCTCCTCATCCTGAGCAATGCTCTTGACTGCTATCTCGTCATACACACACTAGATCTCCAGAGTTTACTTTTTTATCCCTTGGGAAATAGAAGAAGACTAGGCTTGCCCCACTGTGCAGATGTCAGCTTGCTCAATGGACCTATTTAGTTCTGGCTTGTTCTGTGTTAAAGATGACATGGTACCTACACAGGAGCGAATAACATTTCATTTCCTGTCCAATTTTGGCCAGAGTGAGAATCCCTTTACTCACAATGATGAGCAGTTATTTGAGTTGAGTAGGACTGTTCATCTAATGTACCTGCTTACTAATGTTTGTAAAAGGCTCTTTATCACTGTATGCATGGGTCCTGGAGCAGGGTTAGTATATTCATGACTTCTTCTGTGTTACTCCTGGAACTTCATATGGAAGATGGCTTTGTGTGTGCTTTTAAAGCACTCCTCTGAAGAAGGATCTAATGCAGATTTTTCCAATACAAAAGTATTTAACCAGAAAATACTGCTCTGCCATGTGTTTCATGGAAATGTGTTGGGGGAACACACTTTTAATGAGCAACAGACAGACTCTGATGGAAATGCTTGTCTGCTCACCTGTGGGCTGCCAGGAAGCCTAGACTGCGAGCTCTGGGGCAGCCCTGCTATGTGGACTGTGCTGGGGTCGGAGACTGGGAGTCTGGAAGTGCTGAGAGGTTCAGTTCTTTATGGAGTCCTGCTTCCTTGCTCTGTAGCCGGGTGCTTGGGAATCTCATGGAATCTTGGCTTTAGCTTGGGGCAGGCTTCCATGGTTTTCAGCTTGGGGTTAGCCACACCTGTCCCAGGGATTATAGGACTTCAAGACCATCTGGATCCATAAGCTGCCTGGATCCCATAGCTAAATGATATGATACTTGTCAGCAGAGCTCTAAAGTCTCTCTACTGGGCATGTGTGGGCTGTGATCAAAAGCTCATAACTTGGCCAAATTGGAGTTGTTTTGCACTGAGCACATTTCTGACGCAAGCCATTTCTCTAGCTAAATTTTAAGCCTCTGATCCAAAGCGTGTAATTGCTATAACTTCAAACAAAGCATAGCAATACTACCATGTGTTTACTTGTCTCTTTCTCAGAACTGTTTTCACTGAGATTTTCTAAAAGAGTTAAACCTGGGGCAAGCCAATACCATAATTTCATCCCAAAAGTTCAAAGTTTGGTAAAAATGCAAGCAACTGAAAACAGGATTTTATAGTAGGGAGTGCTGGCCAATCTTAGTAACAGATGGTGCCACCAGCCCTGCCTGTAATAGAAAACACACACACACAGAGGAGTAGCTGTTATCTTGTATTTAACTCTGGCATTGAGGACTAATGATTTTTGTTCAACATAAACTGACTTCAGATTTATTTGTTGTGGTGTCTTTTACCCACCTTCAAAACCCACACATTTAATCAGTCATGGCACTTACTTCAAGGCAGAACTAAGTGAACCAGATTTTTCATATTAGGGAGAACCATGGTAACAAAGATTGATTTATTCATTATGCAAGGCCTTGGAAACATGCTAGTAGTCTGAAGAAATTGACTTCCAGTTCATTAGAAAAATTAAATGTATATGTATGGGGTAAAAAGAGGTTAAAAAAAGGTTTTTGAATGCAGTATTTACTCTCTCTCTCTCTCTCTCTCTCTCTCTCTCTCTCTCTCTCTCTCTCTCTCTCTTTCCTTTTTTTTAATAGAGATTCATCCTGCAATAAAACCTAATGTAATCAGATCAATGCCGAGCCTTCAGAGCCCAGGTGCAAAACGAATGCTTGCAACTTCTAATCATTCATCCTTAAGTATTTTGGGAAAGAGAAACTACAGCCATCATAATGGCCTTGATGGTATGTAAAGCTTAGATTTTAACAAGATATATTTTATGACTCTTATGTGAATTGCAAAACTTCAATGTGCAGAGCTACAAATCTGTAAAACTGAAATTGTAGGACTTTGCTCATTTGTAGCATGCCACATAAAATAATGAATCATCGATTTATAAAAGAAGTAGGCTGCTAGACGAATAACTGTGGTAAAGATGCAGTTCTATAAATATTGTGTAAAATTCACTGAGAAGAGTAGCACCTTCTCATTCATAAATGTACTCTGAGTACAAACCAAAGAAGACCTTTTGTCATGGAACAAGTACAAGATACATTTAGTCTGTTTGTTTTGTTAGTTTTAAATGTCATCATGGGTGGTGCGGAATACACTAGAATTGGCTTCATTTTTAGGACCCATCTCAAAAGATTACTTTGGCTTTAGAGTCTTCAAACTAATATTACTTCTTGTAGTTCTTCTGACTAATCCTCAATGTTTGCACAAAGGATAAGGAAAAGAATAAAAACAAGGGTATTGCAATAGGAGCTTTTTGTATTGTTGAGCAACTGTTTTGCAGTGAGCAATAAAATAAGCCAGTAGATGGTTTGTATAAGAGCATTATGATTTTTTTCCATATTGTACTAATTTATAGATTGCTGGGATACCTAAGTGCTTGTGTGCTGGTTTACATTTCCAATCAGTGTATGGATCCATGACTTGGTTGCAATACTGGCCCCAGCTTCTCTGATTTGATGTGTTGTAAATCAAGGGAGAGATGGTTAGCCATCTTGTGGTAAAATAGCTTTTAGCCATCTTGCCAGACCAATATTCTGGGGTTAGAACCAATCAGCTCCTTCCTGTAAATCAGCATGCCTAATGGCAGGTTGTTCACAGCCCAAGGTGTCATTCTGGCAAACAGGGATAGCTGGCACATAGAAGCTTCTCGTCCACATGCTCTTTCCCATGTATACCCACTGCATGGAAGACAGAAGTCAGTTTCACTGAACCACTTATAGTTTCGTCTACACTGGGTGACTCTCTTGTATCCTTTAAGGCTGATTTCCAATGGTAGCATGCAAATCATGAGCTGACAAAAATTGTGGAAAGGAATTTTGAAGATGGCTCCAAACCATTTTAAAGTGTGCTTACACTCTTAAAAATAACCCTGTGCATGGCATCTTCTTGGCTTGTGTATCATCACTACTAGCAGTATGGATTTTGCCATGAATTGTTCAATAAACAATTCTTACCTAATGTACAAGTCAGAATGGAGTCCAGCTCACTGCCCCTTAGCTAACAGAAGTGAAATGTAATACATCTTTAATAAAGCAATAAAGGATAAGCAGTTCTGACTGTGAATAAAAATGCAGGAAATCAGTGAATTAAATATTCCACTCGGTTACTTTTTAGTGAAGAACCCCGCTATAAGCTTTGAAGTCCTCAGTCACCACACATTATTGGTTAGTTGATATAAAAAAGGTCTGCAGTGAATATAGGAAACATGAAATTCTACTATCTTTAATATATTCCAATTTTAGTTTATCTTAGCAAAGCAGTGACAATATCAGATGGAACTGGACTTTTGGTATTACATGGGAAAATATTTTCAGAGAGGCTGAAAAAGAGGCAGCAAAAGATGTCAGAGTACTGTGTCTTCCCTGGTCTTTGCAGAAGTAAATGAAGAAAGGTTTTATGTTTTGTTTGTTGAGCTATAGATTAATGAAAGCATCCATCCCACATCATCCTATGAACTGAGGTAAAGCCTGGCCTCCCATCCATGACCACTGGTACAACTATGTTTAGCACCAAGCTGAATAGAAGATCTAGAGGGATCTTCACTTGTTATGGCTTTATTCTTGTTAGTCCTATAGAAGCCCTTAAGAAATAAACAGTATTTGAAGAATGGTGTACTCTGGGCATGTCTACACAAGACATTTATACAGTTGCCTAATTAGCTCCACAGTAAATGTCTCAGTGTCTACATATGCAGAGCTATTAGGCTGGAGTAAACTATTAAACTCCACAACAGGATAGTACTTGTAAATACAAGTATTGTCCTGCTACAGATTTTTTTACTCTGCAGCATCACACATGTAGACACGTATATGGCTGGCTGGGGCATGAGGGTGCTTCAGTGTGGGGGCTGCCTGCTGACTAGCCACATACTGGAGCAGCCTTGTGCCCCAGCCAGCCCCTCTGTAGCAGGTTGACCCAGGTCAGAGCAGCCCCAGGCTGGCAGGCTGACCCCTCAGGCTCCCTGCCAGCCAGGACTGCTCTGACATGGTTCAGCGTGCTGTGGTCCCAGGTACATGTGTTGGCACCTGGGGAGTAATAAACTATGGCATGATATTCACCAGAGTTTATTGCATAGCATTAATATGCACATGTAGACACATCCACTGTGTGTGGGGAGTCAGGTAGCCTCTTTGCCTTCTGCCTCACCCCAACTTCTTTTCCCTGTGGCCCTTTCCCCTTCTCTTTACTGTCAGACCCTGCTCTCCCTGAGCATATGGAAGTGAGAAGTAAATTTGAAAATAGTGACTGAAATAACCATAGATGTAATAATTTTTATACAGTACCAATAGACTTAGTTCATCCAGAATTGATATATTTTACCTTTTTTTTAAACTGCACCAAGTTTAAGCGCAGGTGCTCCATAAACACATTTTAAAGCAGCTAAGAGAAAATCCTTGTGGGACTCTGTGATATGCCCCAACTCCAGACATGGCTGGGTAGGCCTTTGAGAATCCTGGGGCACTCCTACATACTTGGGGTGCCATTCTGCTCCAAACCCCTCCCCTCAGTGCTTGGCCACTGAGAACCAGCTGAGCTGTGCCAGGAGCCAACTCCTTGGCTTGTGGCATCTCACCCTTACCTGTCTCCCTGTGGTCTTGCCACCTCTGAGCAGAGGGTATTTTGCTGACTAGAAGAATCACACCCTTGTCCCATTGTGCACTCGGAAAAGATGGATCCCCCCTTTCCATAGAATTGGTAAGCCTGTGTGGTCAATACATATGTAAAAAGGTAACAAAAAGGATATATCAGGAAAAAAATAAAAAGCACAAGAAATTAGTAATCATAGGCTGAAATACACAGAGAGATATAAGAGTAAACAAGCAGAAGAAAATATCTGAACAAAAACCTGTTTTTAACCCTGCATCTGAAATCCAAGGATGCAGTACTTAGCCAGCTTCAACAGAAAGAAGGCAGCTTCTCCCTCTGATCTCTTGGTTAGGGCCTCCTTCAATTTTTCCTACCACCTTGCTTTACTCAGCCTCCTTTACCCTGGCTCTACAGGAGGGACTACAGCCTCCCCTGTACTTAGGAAAATTAAAGTCAATAACCTGCTCTCAAAGCAGGCTTAAGTACACTTTCCTGTCTGGCTATTCATGTCTATCACCTATTGGATTCTTGGGGCGCCCACCTTATTATGTATATAACTTCCTGCCCCCTCAAAGGTGCATGTTTGCCAAAGCAAAAAATCTTTCCAAATCTAATTAAGACCAAGGGAATATGTGCATCCTTGCAGACATGGATATTCACTAATCCAATATACTAAAGATCCTGCCTCTCTGTTTCCCCAATAATCTGAATAAGTAGGTGTTATTCTTACGGCTCCTTCCTTTTAAAATGTGAATTTATCACTGACGTAAGGACAGAGTTTATATGCCTCAGAGCATGTAAGCAAAGATGCTGAATCAACAAACACCTGTCAAATGCTGACTCTGAGCACTTAGGCCAGGGACAGACATTCAAAAAGCCTGATCCTGAATTGATTCAATCTTTGCAGGTTAGTCTAACCTGACTAGGCTAAATCAGTTTTGTAACCAGACAGACATTCCAGAAATGCAGGCACATGCCTGCAGTGGCTCAGGCTAGAAGCTGGGGGGCGCTAGATAGCCCTCCCTTCCCTTGCACAGAGCTGAGCTAAGGGGGACATGGCCAGGCCCCAGCTGGACACTGTGATTAGGGAGGGTTCCCCTGCTCCTGAACAGCCCTGTGGGCAGCCCCTGCTGGCTGCAGCAGGGAGCTGGACCCAGACTCCATGCTCGTGAGGAAGGGGCGGGGGAGGAGGGGGCTGGAGGAGGCGGGAGGGTACCATGAGGGAACCCCTCCCAGGCCCCATCCCTACCTGCTCCCCCAGTCCCCCTGAGTGCTCTTGACCCCCTCCCGTTCTCCCAGCGCCTCCCCCCCACCATGACTGCCCCGCTTAGCGCCAGCTCCTGGCACTTTAAAATCCCTCACTCACTGGCTGCTGCCAACCGGGGGTCGGGGGGTGTGATCCCTGCTACCCACACTGCCCCGCGCTGTGAAGGGGGCTCTGCCACGAGTCCCCCAACACCTGGCCACTCTCACAGCACCCCCCCCCAAGGACTGCCCCCCACCCCCCCCCCCT